GAATATCTTGATCAGCTAAACAACTACCAGCTGCCACTAACCTGATGCATGGCTGAACATCCGACTCTTCAGGCTCTCCGGGGCACACCATGGGAATGGAACTTTTTTATGCTCCGTCATTACATAACAATCCTCCTGCTGCGGAAGTGCTCTCATGAGGCCGAAGTCTCCTATCTTCACCTGAAAATAAAATACAGAATTGTGACCAAATTAATTTCAAAACACACACAGTTTCAAGGAAAGAAAGTTTACAAGCACTGGTGGCCATGAGTTGTGTTGGCAGGATCTACCATTCCATACAGGTAAAAAGAAGAGTAGATCAATTCTGAAAGTTTGTGATGATGGTGCGTTGTTGAAGCAAACTGTTTTCTGGACATTATCCATCAACCAAGATTAAATAAAATCAATAAAACCACAACGTTTCGGAGCTTGCTCACTTAAGGCTTCATTTTTTTTCATAGTTCCTGCAGTATCGCAACACTGAAGTACAGATATTAATTTTATTTCCTTGTCCTGCATAAATAATTATTTCAACATACTTCGGTGTTCGTTCAAAAGGCAACAAAGCTTCTGCTGTTCAGATTGTGTGCTTGCAGCTACAGCTTCAATCAAGTTCTCAGAACCAAAGTTCACAAATGCATTAATAAGTTTGCATAGACCAGGCCACTTTTTCTCTATCAATTACCAGTGGTAGACTGTTTAATCACTGCAATGCTAATGGACTCTTAGTATAGAAACAATATACAATCAGCTACCACACACCATCTTGACCACTTGTAAAATTTGTTTCTGCGCCTGTCAGCCTAGGACAATCTGAAGTTATGAAGCACTGTGTTAAAAAGTTTCTGCCACTCTAAATCATCTATTATCCAATATTTCAAAGAATAAAAAGTGGGATAAAAATGGAAAATGCATGTAAAATATGCTCTCAGCCTGATTATTTATATACTCCAGTATGGTAAAAAGTAATTCATCTTCAAAAGCCAGCATTTTATTTGAAAACTCTAGATCAAAAACTGCAGTGATAATACTACAATTTATTTAATGATTTTCCAGACTTCACAGAATTTAAATGCCAACATAATCCAAGTATAATGCTAAACATGGAATTTAAATGCCCATCACAAAAAGGTTAATAATAAAATTCCCAACTTTTACCTCTTCAACGATACATATATAAATCTAAAGGAAATTCAAGGTCTTTCAATTCTCAGTGTTTCTAAATGTTTGCCAAACCTCCCCCATACTCTTTCTTTGTACCTTACTTAAAAATAATGACTGGCTGAGTTAATAACTGACAAAATAAATATTTACCTTATCAGCTGCAGCAAGCAAAACATTGCGGCATGCTAGATCCCTATGAATGAACCTCTTCGACTCCAGGTAAGCCATTCCAGTAGCTACTTGAAGAGCATAGTCCCATAACGCTGTCATAATATAAAACAATACAGTTAACTATGATATCACTTGCTTTTGGATAAAATGGAATGATATCCCTTGTCCAGAACTTTCAAGAAAGATGGTTTGAGTGCATCTGTCATGCATTATGGATGGAGCTATTCAATCAAAGGTAAAACATGCTGCAACGTCATATTTTTTGTTTGCTTGTTTGTTTCAGGAAATTCTACAGAAGAAAAAGGTATAAAAATTAAAAATATTAGTTACACAATTAGTTTTAGAGGTAAACACATACACACAGTTTTTTAATTGTAGGGTTCACAACTGTTGTACCAATTATCTACTGTTAATCTTTTAATGTCATCATCAAATACAATTATTGCATATTGCTCTTGCTCATTAAAATAGTTCTAACACCTAACATGTTTCAGTAATCATTATGCCATCATCAGGGTATACATGTAGCATTAAAGCTACTGAAGTTTATAACAACACATAACATTGTAGTTATTGCTTACATCTTAATTGCATCATGCTTGTGTTTCAATACAATACTTTTATTTTCCGTAGTTTACACAAGCTTATTGTTAAAATCATATAAAATTTCACATAAAATTGTTACATTTTAAAATTGACGACATGTTTCGATATACAATCTTATCATCGTCAGGTCTATCAAAATTAAAATTAAAATCTGGTGTATCTGTTGCTCTGCTTATATTGCTTTTGTTTTTACTCGTTTTTATTACATCTCCAGGCTTCTTCGATTTTATTTTTGGAGACGCGCCTGGGTGCCTATATCTGCAAAATCAATTTTAATTTTCATATCGTGATAAGGCTACCGAAATAGGAAATGGAATAATATTACTCTAATTTATAATATTTTAAGGAATTATTCAAATATATCGTATTACAAACAAAATAAATGTAATCACAAAATATAAAGTATTATAACATACCGGGTTGTGTATGAGGTGCGTGTCCGTTGTTATTGAAGGGCAGACAGTAACTGAGTTGTGAGTATCGTGTATGGCTATATATATTGGGTGAAAGTTGTTTAGGGGGTTGGGTCAATGGACTGTAGAATGTTAAATATCGGATTGTTCGTGTAAATGTTGCTGTCGTTTAATGCAAGGTTCTGTTTATGTGTTCTTTGTATATGATATTTCTCTATGGTGTCTCTATGTCGTTTATTTTGTATTATTTTTATAATGTCCAATGTATGTTCTATTTTGTTGTATGAATGTCCTGTGTTTAATATATGCTTTGCATATGCTGAATGGTCTTTATTATGTTTTATTGCTGTAATATGTTCTTTATATCTTTGATTAAAGGTGCGTCCAGTTTGGCCTATATAGGTTAACGGGCAATCATTGCATTTCAACCTATATATGCCTGGTTTTTCGTATTGATTTGTTGTATCTATTTGTGGTTTTTGTTTCAAGATGTTTTTTATAGTGTTTTTTGTTCTAAATGCTATTTTTATGTTATTTGTTTTAAATGTTTTTGTTATATATTTGGTTTCTTTTCCTATATATGTGAATGTGGCCCATTTGTTTTGTTTATTTTCGTTTCCGTCTTCATTTATGTTGTTTATATTGTTTATTTTATTTTTGGGTTTTACTTCATGATTATTATATCCGTTTTCTATTAGAATTTGTTTTATTGTGTTACATTCAATTTGTTTGTTTACTGTGGTTATGGGATATGTATTTTTCCTGTTTATTAAGTAGTTAATAGCCATCTGTTTATGTTCATTCGGATGGCATGAAGAGGCATGTATTATGGTGCTTGTATTTGTGGGCTTTCTGTATATTTTGAATTCGAAGTTATTTTCGTTTCGTATTATAGTTAGATCTAAATAATTTAATTTGTTATTTTGTTCTTTTTCTAAAGTGAATTGTATATTTTGATTTATGTTGTTAAATTCATTTAAAACATTTTTTATGTCTGTATTTTTTCCATCAAAAATCATGAGTATATCGTCAACATATCTACTATAGTATTTAATTTGATATTTATTTAATATATTTACTATGTAATCATGTTCGAGATATTGTAAGAATATTTCAGATAATATGCTCGAGGTGGGAGCTCCCATAGGTAATCCTGTTTCTTGTTTCCAATATTCATTGTTGAATTGGAAATAATTTTGGTTAATAATAATGTTAGTTATATTTGTAATTTCATTTATTAGATCTGTATTTATATTCTGTCTATTTAGAATATCTCTCACAACATCTCGTAGCATGCTTGTTGGAATATTTGTATACATATTATTGATGTCAAAAGAACAAATTTGTATATTTTTATTATTATGAAAATTTAGTTGTTGGATTTCATTTATTAATTTTATAGAATTTGTTATATTAAAGGTATTTGGTAAATTACAATATTCTTTTAAAATGTTTTGCATTTTTATTGCTATTTTATATGCAGGGGCTGATGTCCAACTTATTAATGGTCTGATAGAGTATGGGTTCTTATGTAGTTTAATTTGTCCTGTGATGATTGGTGCGGTGGCGCTATGATTATAGTATTGTGTTTTGGGATGGTTAAAAATGTTATTACACTTTTGGGTTATTTTTTGTATTTCCTTTTGATATTTTAGTGTTGGGTTTTGTGTTAGTTGTGTGAATTCATTTTTGTTTATAAATTGAGTGATGTATTTTTGGTATTGTTCTATAGAGAGTATTATGATGGTTTTTCCTTTATCTGCTTGCGTAATTGTTAGTTTATTTTGTTGTAATTTTTGTTTGATATTTTTTATTAATTTCCATTCATTATTATGTGTTTTATTATATTGATCGTTCTTTTTGTTTTGTTTAATTAGGTGTTCAATTTTGTCTGCTATTATGTGTCGTATATGATCTTGTTTTTGTATAGGAATTAGATTTATTGCAGTTTCTGCTTCCAGTGCTAGGTTTGTGATCCATGTTTTATGTTTATGATGTAAATTGTATTTTAAGCCTTTGTTTAGTAAATTATATTCATTTGGTGTGAATTGAATATTTGTTAAGTTTTTTACGCGACATGCGAAATGGTGTGATGGTTCATTTTGTTTGTATTCGTTATTATCTTCGTTTCGTGTTTTACTTATTAATGTTTTTATTTTATTATTTTGTTTCTGATATACTTTAGTCAATTCGGTTTTTAATTTTTGTATTATTTCATTTTCTATGTCCAACCATACATCCTTCCATATGTTTGCAACTTCTAAATGTTTTTTATAGGTTAATATGTTTAACTGATATTTCTTTTTGTATAATTGTTTAATTTCTGCTTTTAAATATAATGTTACTGCCTTTCGTTGAATTATTTGTATATTAGGATTATTTCCTTGTATTTTGATTTTTACATATTTCGGTGTTATTCTCTCCTTTAAACATAGTTTGTTAAACCTAATATTAGCATTGCACTTCAATACCTTACGTTTTAAATTTAATAATTGATATATGCAATTTATTTGACAATTGTACAGCTTATATCTTAATTGCATCATGCTTGTGTTCCTCAATACAGTACTTTTATTTTCCGTCGTTACACAAGCTTATTGTTAAAATCATATAAAATCATATAAAATTTCACATAAAATTGTTACATTTTAAAATTGACGACATGTTTCGATATACAATTCTATCATCGTCAGGTCTATCAAAATTAAAATTAAAATCTATATAAGCAGAGCAACAGATACACCAGATTTTAATTTTAATTTTGATAGACCTGACGATGATAAGATTGTATATCGAAACATGTCGTCAATTTTAAAATGTAACAATTTTATGTGAAATTTTATATGATTTTAACAATAAGCTTGTGTAAACGACGGAAAATAAAAGTATTGTATTGTAGTTATTGTCTGCCTATTCCCTAAATATGTTAGTTAAGACTGTTATCTGAATATTATGAATGAAGATGGCTGTCTTGTGGGTTTTTGCGCCATGTAATCTGGTAGAAGTTTACCGATGTTTCGGAGGTCTTTGCTGCCTCTGTCATCTGGACATGATTGATGATGGAAGCAGCAAGCATCTCTGAAACATCGATAAACTTCTACCAGATTACATGGCACAAAAACCCACAAGATAGCCATCCTCATACTTGCTGCTATGAGAACCCAAAATCTCACAGTAGGGTCAATCAAGTTAAATTTATTTGACAATAATACAGTTTCAATCACAAATAATCACATTTATCCTGGTTTACTGCATCAAAAATCACTGAAACAGTACCAGTGGTAATCTCCTTTTGGCACTTCCTGTCTATAACAGAGGCACACACAACCACTTCGCAGGCACCATACTCAGCACTATGTACTTACTGTGTCCTGCCATTACTAAACGCACAACTGCTTGTATAAGCACTCACTGTTCTTCCAAAAGTCCTGTATCCACTGCTTGTACTGGCCATTCCAATAGTATTTACTTTGCACTTCCCTGCTGCACTAACTAGATGGCTTATGGAACCCAAAGGTTCATCACCGAATTAACCAAAGCCCTCCACCAGACCCCGTCGTGGGCCAACAAATTCCAGTCTCTTTCAACTCCTATCTCCCATAGATCCCACCTGATATTATACTCCCACCTACGTCTAGGTCTTCAAAGCAGTCTCTTCCCCTCAGGCTTCCCAACCAATGCCCAATCCTGCTGCATTATCCACTTTAATACTCAAACACTTCTTATCCATTGTAACTTTCCACTTATATGTCACTTCTGACACCCAGGAAGGACTCAACAATCCCTCCCACCATCAGCACAACACTCACTGTACCATGCCAGAATGCCTTCTTTTAAAATACTCAGTTATTGCAGCTAACTCTCTGTTCGCCAGTCTCTCGGACCTTTTGGAAATTATGTTGCCTGGTGGAGCATGCCACTGCACAGAAATGTGACTGTTTCTAGGCTAAGAGAATGAAGGGCACAGCAATTTATCACCAGGTCAAAAAGCTGCAGCAGAGAGGGGGACTTGAGACAATATTAAGGATATTTTCTCAAATCATTAAAATTTCTTGTTTTTTCTACTTTGTTTGCTATAACAGTGTTTATTGATTTAAAGGTAATGGCTCTTCTGCATAATAATTATAAGCTTCTATATCTGTAAACATAATATGGCATGTTTCAATTATTTTTATGAGTCAACTAAATGATGAATGACACTTTTATTGTGTCTACAATAAAGAGCAGTTTAGCGTCACAGTTTTCACATTTAAGCCTTCATACCTCTTTCTCTGAGTTGTGTCAATGCATCCAAGTAACTGTGTCTGCTTTTCAAGTGATTACTGTTCTGTCTGCTAGTTTATTCGTTCCGTTCAGTTACATAATTCATGTGTAACAGAAATTTGTGAAAAAATGCTTCAATAACAATTTCAACTTAAGTATTAGAAAACGTATCATTAAAAATTACAATTTTATATGTTAACACTCTCAACATCTAACGGCTTTAAAATAATGCATGTAACCCAAACTATGGCACAATGTTTGCCGATACATGTCGGGTATCAGAACAATAATATGTTTTAATGAATCACAGTAATATGTTATAATTATATTTGATGGAGATACTTGTATGTATAGCAATGAAATATTTCATAGCAGTCTGAATTGTGAGAACCCAATGAATACTGATAAGCATGCAACTGGATACTGCATTTTTAGAGCTACTGTCTGAATTTAATGAGTATCTGTAGATTGGTCAGTAAAGTGACTGGCTACATTTGGAAACATAAGAATTCAGTTCCCGGCAGGAGCAGCATTTCTTCCCTTGCAAAAACATACAGACTGACTCTGGGGTCCATCCACTTTTCTATCAGTTGGTACCAGAGGCTCCACAATATGCAGCTCGTGACTGATTACCACTAGTGCAAGGTTAAGATTGTGTGGAGTTTTACCCCCACCTCAATTACTGCTAATGAGCCTACCGTCCATCCCGTGATGATACATGACTGAATTTGGAGCGCTGGCGGAATGATACCGGCAGGAAAAATCGAAGGACTCGGAGGAAAACCTATTCCAGTGCCACTTTGTCCACTACAAATACCACATGACCTACCCTGGGCATGAACCCGGGTCTATGCAGTCAGCACTATCTGTCTTGAGCTTTGGCATGGCCCCACTTTACCATACATCATGGCACGGTGCTTAAACACGGGGCAACATCAATTCCTTTTAATGTCTAAGTAATGTAAATGGAAGTTGCCAGAAATTTTTCTGCATGGTAAAGCATAATGTTTGAAAGTGGAAATCATTCAAGTCCAATAATGATAAGTCACTACAGCACAGCAAATCTTCTCCCCCCAAAATTATTCATCACCTACATGTATTTTGTAACAAACTTCACTTTCTTACATCAAGATGTGACAAAAATTAATTGAATCAACCATCTTATGAAGTTATGTTTTCTGTGCATGTGCTTTGGCTATAGGCAAAATAAAGTTTTGGTTACCCATATACAAAGTCTGATATAAAGATTCATAGCCCATCTCTGTATGAAATGCACTGTATTCTACTGCCTCCTAATGGAGAAAATTACAATTAAAAGAACAGATGCATGCAAACTGTGCACATGACTAGTTCTTGTCCGTAGGTTTCCAGGGCTGAGATCAATGTATAATTTCGGCTTCTGGGCAAATGCCACGTCAAATGTTTGGTTTTAACCAACATCTTGGCAAACACTGCTGTTGCAATTTTCGGGGTGGGTATGAGGTAAGGTCAGTTCAGGCCTCATGCCCATCTTGACAATGACAACTGAAATGTTTTTTGACAATATACTTGGACTTCTAGAGATGGTAGCATACACAATAAAATAGATCATGTTGGGATAGATAATAGAAGGGAGACAAATATAATTGAAGTGAGGTCATTCAAAGGAGCAGGTTGTGACACTAACCATTATCTGGTGGTAGCAAGAGTGAGGGAGCGGCTTCCACTAAGTAGACAAAGAGTATATTTGGGCCTAAGAGAGAAGACAATGCAGTATAGAGAAAACTGCATAATGATGAACTTAAGAATTTGTACTCCTCCCCCAGTATTGTCAGGGTAATTAAGTCGAGAAGAATGAGATGGGCGGGGCATGTAGCACACATGGATAGGACAAGAGTTGTGCACTGGGTATAGGTTGGGAAGCCTGATGGGAAGAGACCGCTGGGGAGACCTAGACATAGATGGGAGGATAATCTCAGATGGGATCTATGGAAGATAGGAGTTGAAGGAGACTGGATTTTGTTGGCCCAGGACAGGGTATGGTGGAGGGCTTTGGTGAATTTGTTAATGAACCTTCAGGTTCTGTAAGCGATCTAGTTATTTGGTTGGTTAACACCAAACATTCAACAGCTTTCAACCAAAAGCTGATGTTATACAACTTGACTAGCATTCATAACAAGCCGGACTGTAGTCATGTCCTGAAATGTGTTAGTAAGAAAATACATGCTGCTCACAACAAAACATCTGAACAGCGGAAAACACAAATGAAGAACATGCAGTGAATATAAAGAAAAATAGCAATGGAAGGGCTTACTTGTGATTGGAGTGTGCTGACACTGTTTCCTGAGATAATCCAACAAATTGCCAAGTGGAGCAAGCTCTGTGATCATCATCATAGGATTTGTAAGCACAACGCCATATAACCTGTCAACAAATTTACTACAATATACAAGCTAAAAACATTTTCCTTTGATTGTTTGAAATAGTTAAAAAATTTAATTCTGCTATTTATCCACAGCTGCATTATATGTAATGCTACCTCAACATAACTTGGTTCAGGTATTTTTAACTAACACTCTGTCAAAATGCAGAAGACAGGAAAATACTTAAGTACAAAGATTAAATAAGTTTGCACTTTAGGAAATTACATAAAGAGGAGCTTCAAAATACGATAATGAACACCTAGTACTGTTAGGAAAGCGAAATCAAGGTTATGATGGGCTGCGCTGTAATCAGAGTAGGAAAACAAGGAATGCATACAGAACTTTGTTGGGGAAACCTATTGGAAAATATCTACCTGGATTCTTTTGAAAACTAAGAAGTAGAGGTAAGCAAAATGTCAATAAGTGATTTTATTGCTGTTACTTAAAAATCGTGATCACTGCCTGTTACTATCTAAAGTAGTTTTGACCACAGTAGATGTTTACATTTCACTAGATAGCATCCATTGTAATGGAAATCAGTTGGGCACCAGAGTTATTTCAATCACTGGAACTGGCATCTCCCATGTAACAGTTAATGGAGTCGCTGATTAAATTTCACTGGCTAGTGGCTCTAGTAGGTAATAATAGGTACTTGTTTACATACTATACTTAAGCCAGTATAATAGGGAAAAAACACACACATGCATATTTACCAATGTGCACCTCCTAAAATTAGGGTGTGCCTTTTGTTCATATGTTTTCATGGTAAGGTAATGTATCACATTTAACAAGAAATTTTGTATCATGATTTTTGACACAGAGTCAATGTAGATATTTCAAAGATAATAAATACATAAACAAGTGTTTCACAGAAATATTATAACAGAATACTGCTTGAGACTATGTCCATGCTATGCATGACTGACCAGTTTACAGCAGTAGACTAGATGACAGAATGGTCTATGTTATAAGTGCTGCTACCATCAAGCAGCTTTCAAATGTATTTGTAAAGGAGTTCAAGGTATGAAAGAGATAAAGAAAAAGAATAAAATAGGTAAACCCACAGAGGCTGTCTTCTGGCAGCCAAATCAGGATTGAGTAGAAATTGTGCAGTCAGTGGGCTGGTCACTCAGTATTTCACAATCAAGACCAAGAAACATCAGAAAAGTAGGCAGTGAAAACCCACAACAGGGTTGTAGAGCCAAGAAACACCAGAGGCTGTCTAATTTAAGCATCAAATGTTGCAAAAGTAGAGAACAGGGTTTTCCATTCCACATGATCCTCATACAGTAGTGAACCAAGTCCTTGTTCATTGTTTCTCTCTTGGGCCATCACAATGTCATCATGAGGGAATACCTATTTTGACACTTTCTTGTTTAAAAATTACATCACAGAATGATGGAGGCAGCAAGGACCTCTGAAATGTTGGTAAACTTCTACCAGACTATGTGGCGCTACCACCCAGAACACAGCTATCAAAGGACAGACAGCCATAAAAACTTTAAATCCTACTAAGAAAACATTTCTTACACTTCTCTGACAGCATTTGGAAAATACTTGTTCATCTAATGGTTAACATTATATGACAATTCATGAATTGCCAAACCCAGCAGTGGCTAACTTCAAATTCTGAATGTGAAATGTCCAAGACTTTGTGCAATTTTGTTTGCTTCCAACTCGTTGCTTCAGTCAAAACAGCAAATTATGATTTTCTTGTCTGTATTACATACATACACACAATCAGTTTCAAATTAAGAATATATGCATTTAGTTCCAAAAAATGCAGATGTCCCTTCTGCCACACCACAGTCTTGTATTGACTTCATTAACAATAAAATGTCATCCAGTAGCATGTTTACCATGTTCCATAATACAATGTATTAGTTGTAGCTCAAACTCTGTAGCGTAGTTCATGCATTCCTTAGCCATATTTCTCTATTAGCAACTAAGATGATTCACAATAACGACACAGCTGCTATAAAGCATGGTTTTTGACCATTATGACAGGCTGCAAGACTGGCACGGAATGTGATGCAGTGTGACCGATTGTCATGAAATCACTACAACCAATGTCCTTTGAACTTTTTTAAAAGTATAACTGGAACTTGAATGAAATTAGAAACTTTGATATAGGTTATACATGAGATTTTAGTTACTTTTTTATTTCTTCTTAAACCTTAGACATGCCTTGTATACACATATTCAATAACTGGATTTTTACATAATTACAGTACCGTATAAGATTATGGTGATCCAACTGATGCATGGATTGTACTTCCTTCACAAAGTCTTCAAATACTCCTGGATGATTAAGGGCATCTTGCTTTAAAACTTTCACAGCGACAGGCTGCAATCGTCCACTGGGAGTTGTCCATTCACCTCTCCTTACCACACCAAATGAACCATCACCCAACTTCAGAGACAGGCTACATAAAGACACAGAATGCTGCATTAATGAGAAAAATATGAAATAAAACGGTAATTCAATAATAAAAGTACCTCTATTTTAAAAGTTTGTGACGATGGTGCGTTGTTGAAGTAAACTGTTTTCCGGATATTATCCATCATCCAAGACTAAATAAAATCAATAAAATCCATGATGTTTCAGAGATGGGATTACCTCTATCGATTGGGCCCAACAGAGTAGGTTTTACCTGAAGACAGAGATAGACTCCCATCTCCAAAATGATGTGGTTTTTATTGATTTTATTTAGTCTTGGACAATGGATAATAACCAGGAAACAGTTTACTTCAATAGAAATATCTATTTTAAAAAACATTTTTGTCAAATACTAGTTAATGAGGGGGGAAAAAACCAATTCACCTCTACTGGAAATACAAATTTCCATACAATGTACAAAATTAGCCTAGATTCTTATAAAATTTCAAATAAGTATTTTTGTGTGCTATCAAAATCATAAACTTTAATTTCCCATTCTAACCTGACATCTTTTTCCTGAATGAGACATGTCAGACTTAGAGATGTCAGCCCATCAGCATTTTGAATGCCTTTCCTGATGGTTCCAGTCTTGCTTCCACTTGTATTTCCAGCTGCTGGAATCAGTTTTGTCAAAATGTTCCGTTTCCATTGTTGAGTCTTGCGCTTTTTTAAAGCCTCAAGCAGACGCCTTGCACCGGGTTTACCCATACCAATTTTTTCTAAGTCTTCAGCTTGGACATAGTCAAAGTGGGTTAATCGAGTCACCTATTACAAAAAACAATATAGAAAGATTACTGTTCAATAATCATATTTACTTAATTACTCCATGGAACCAAGTCATTTATAAGATGTAATTTTGTTATACTGTATAAATGCCTATTTGCATATCTCGTTTACTCAGGCCTGACAGCTGATACACACTTATCATTTACACCAAAGATGTACTGACATATTATCAATAGTATATTAAAAATTCAGAATTGCACTCACATTCTATTCTGAAACAACTGAGTCTAAATAGAATACATAAGCACGTGTGCCTCTTTACATGGAGCACATGTAGGTTCCATGTGTGTGGTTAACACTGGTCAATGAGAATACCCACTAATTTGTTTCTTCTCAATTTTGGATAATAATTTTGGTAACAATTTATATGTTTGACCTGTCTCAGTGTTGGGTGTGTATGACACGCAGAACATTTGAATTCTACATAGAACACATGGTCTTGTCTTTCTTTAAAAATAACTAAGTATCACTGACAGAGCTGTGGAGTCGGTACACAAAACCTCCAACTCCGGCTCCTGAATTTTTAAACCTCTGACTCCATCATAAAAGCACAATATGTAATAATGGTAAACCTACTAAAATGGTAAATGGTACCATAAGACATTTCATCACCACCACATGAATCATCAGGCTACTTGTTAGACTTATAACCTATATTTAAGTATAAGTCTAATGGTTATTGTAGAAATCAGTTGATTTGTAGACAATTTGTATTCTTAAGGTATCGGAGCCAAAGTTACAAAGCATTATTCCCACACCATGTGGCTCAACACTTCATTGAATCTCCCTAAGTGTGAGACTACTGGCGGCTCACATGGTAGCGAAAGTGTTAAAATAGTATTTTGTTAAGATTTTATATCAAGGTCGGAGTTAGTACATTTTTACCGACTCCACCTAAAATTGCTTCTGACACCACATCCCTGATCACTGACCAACATACTCACACACATAAATCATGATCATTTGAGATATCAGTATGCTTGTGCTGTTAGACTCAAGATTTTTTTGTTATTTGGAATGTTGTGAAAGATGTGGACAGAGAAGAAACAGTCTGAGTTCAATAGCCGGAAACAAAAATGCTTCTTTAAATGAATGAGTGTGCTAAAAGTGCCAAAGTAGGGTGGCTCTTAAGGATGATGTTCATACAAATATTCACAAGAATCATTTAATTAGTATCTATAGTACTGGTGTATGCAATTGACTCAGTGAACAAATTAATAGATGGACAGAATAACACCGTTGATTAATGGAGTTCAGAAGAAGGAAAACTTCTTCCATGAAAGTCTAAAAGAACAACCAAATTTCATATTTGATGAAAAAATGCTTTCATCATATAAAATCACCTGTAAGTCATCTCTGATTCTTGTGGCAAACTGTTCTAATTGCACATCGTGCAGCAACTCATACAGCCACTCAATGCCACCCTCATCAGCTGCCATTTTAGCACTTGCGTATGTGCAATTCTAAAACAGAAAAAAATACATTATAATTACTCTACCACATAGCACTACTACCACATTCTGTAAGTAAAACATAGTGTTGCTGATCATACTTAATATTTTCCATACATACATACATACATACTGCCAACATAATACCAGATCCACATACTTTGCTCTACATTTAAAACTTCCATATTTACGATTATATATATATATATATATACCGTATTTAACAGATGAACTTGAATAAATGACATGAAACATTTAACTTTGTTGAAGACAGTATTAAAGTTATTCACCAACTCCTAGCACAACGATGAACTGCCTGAACATCAAATTGACATAATGACACTTGATTAGTTGTAGCACATTGCATGAATGGGGATGTAAATTGCTGTTATTATAAATGAGTTCTGCCCACCAAGGTCAACACTCACCACTCAACTCACACTGCATCTGGCTAGCAGCTGCAAAGAAATGCATTAGTTGTTACTGTACTAGCTACCAGGTTATAAAACAGGCTTTCAATATAAATCACTTTCTACAGAACCAAACAACCAATAGATATCACTCGTTCTTACTGGAGAAGTTAAATCCTTTGGTCTTGAAATTTTCTTCACAGTATTGTTTCCAACAAATGCAAAAACGTTTTTTTCTCTCGTCCGTTTGCAGCTGAATTACTGCAGGACAATATGACGTTTTCCTTGAAAGTGGAAATGAAGGAAGACTTTCATAGTGACAAAGGAATATAGATCCAATGTCGGAAGAACGTCAGAATACACGACGAAGAATGACAGAATTATGATTAGCTGTTCATGGTACATGGAGCATAAGAAATCTTCTATCAAAGACCTAACCGCGTTCTATTCAACTTTCACCCAACGAAACACTGTTCCTTTCATGCATACGATATGAAGATCCTGTAACACTTATTAAGCGCTTTAATATAACAACAGTATCTCTTTCGATTTACAAATTCCTTTGTAACGTTGATAACAGATAGTTACTTAATTATAAAACAGTTTCCCACCAAAGACCTCGTTACACTTTTGTCATATGTTTCCCAACCCCCTTACATATTGCTATATGATCTTCGATGCGCAACAGTGCTGCGCAGTCTGACTTTCATTTGTTTCCGTTCCAATTGTGTGAATTAACATTAATTTGTGTTGTTTTTGTGCATGAGATTAGCGAATATGACTAATATTGAACGAATCCGAATTTTACAATGTTACGCATAATTTATCGTCTTAAAAAATGTGTTTTCATTATTGGAATAGTAATAGGCGTGATATTAGCATATTTACTCATTGATAGTGAAAATGAAACTTCCATGCAAATGAGTTGTAAAATTAGAGACGGTTCCGAAATTGCATACAGAGAATGGTTTTCCATGCAGAATTTTAAAAAATACCCCGCGAATTACTTTGAATTACGTGATGTCAACTCTGCATCTGGTGATTTAACGTCAGAAGCATCATATTTATACAGTGTAGTCCATGTGCATTGTGTCGTGTTTATTAAGAAACGGAGGAATGCCCTCGCTGTCAAAAACACGTGGGCGAAACATTGCAACGAAATTCTCTTTTTTGGCCTGGAAAATAGGAGTGATGTTTCTGTTACTGTACTTAAACCAAAATCGTCATGGCATTATTTATGTGATGCTATCAGATACTTATGGCAAAATCATAAAGCAAATCTTCATTGGGCTCTTTTTGTTTCTGATGATGTATTTGTAATTCCAGAAAATTTACGATATTATGTTGCATCTTTAGATTTCAATGAACCTCATTATTTGGGTGAAGAAGGTACTTTCTGGGGAATAGAATATAATGTTGGTGAAGCAGGATATGTCCTTAGTAAAGGTGTAATTTATGCATTGCAAAATAAATTCAGTTCAAGTGAATCATGCCTGAGGAGTGGAAAATACTGGAGAAATGAGGATTTTTACTTAGGTAATTATGTATGTTATGATTTTGACATAGGCAATAATATCTTTTCAGATGTATTAATGTAACAGAAGTTTGGAATACAGTAACCACAAATACAGCAGAATTTTCTGACTTAACTATGATTCCTTGAGTAGTAAAACACTTAATCATGTTCACCTCTTTTCCTACCCTCTTTGTTGTTTAATTCTTATCATGCCCTATTTAAGTCTGTTCTAATAGAAGATGAGTTCCTATATTTGAGGTGATTCGAATTACAGTCAACATCCAGATTAATCTTATTCTATATGTTAACTTGAAATTACAATACACTTAAGTAAAAGTGCACAAAGTAATGAACATGAATCAGACACCAATCGCATTTCAAAGGTGCCATAATCCTTTAAAACCCAGTGGGAAACGTATGTACCACCAACTTTAATGATTGCATCTTTCCCACAGTGTATTTATGGACTGAATATGATTTATGGAATAAATGGCAATTATTTCCCAAAACAACATTAACAAATTTATTTTTTCAATGGAGATGTTTTGTGCTTTCTTTGTTGTATTAACTGAAACTTTAAATATTGTTTATATTAGCTTCAGAGAGATGATCAGTACATGAAATGTTGAGATGTAGATAGGGTCACCATAATCTTTGGAGCCGAAAACAGGACAAGCCAGATTTGCACTGCCCTTCTGAAAGAAACATCACATATAATAATGCAATAAATTAAGGGCCATGGATTCTGTACAGAATGTTTTACTTTTTTAAGCCCTCAAAAGTATGCATCTTGAGTGAATATATGCATCATCTCCTGTATGTTGATCACCTTAGCAATATATACTTGTTATTAGTGGCAATAGCCTGACTGAGGCTCTTCCCATGATGTTGATGAAAAGGGTTAATTATAATGATGCCTAAAATGAAACTCTGAGCCCAATTTTTTCACCAAATTCTTAATGTCATAAAATTTTCTCAACTGTGGGAGATATGTTAAGACAATAAGGTGAGATTTCTCATCAGTCCACACATGATAACAAATGTAACACCATATCAGTGGTTTTCAGGATTTCATACTTGATTTTTTAAGCTTCTGTCTTGTTGATGATTTGTACCCATATCTCAGTAACTTGTGCCTCCTCTTATCCCACTCTTCCAAGTACTGCATCACAACTTCTTATGTGCACTGCCATTGATCAAGTAATTTGGCCACTTCCTGTGGACTTGAAATTGAATGGACACATGCTCACTGAAAAAGTGGCAGTGCTGTTTTAAATGTCTGACCTGTTGGGTACAACTTCTCAGAATCACCATAGTTTTGCTTCCACTTCCTACACATGTATAAAATGTTCCAACCACCTATAGGAATACTTCTTCCACCAGAATTCCAAGCCTTATGAACTTGCTTACCTCTGTTATAATAGGCCTTTCCAGCTGCCTTCCAACCACTTGTTTCCACGGGGATTCAATTTGCCATGCAGTTTCTTTGGCGAAATATGTTGCCTTTCTCAGTAAGCTGTAATGGTTCTTGGAATATGTGAACCTGTTCACTGATGAGTATATGCAACTCAAAATGTGGTTCTTCAAACAAGTTTCTTGAGCAGAACACGACACTTTCTTGTGAAAGATTGTGTGAAAATGCTAGTGACTGAAAATGTCCAGTAGTTCTTTTTGGTTCAGGTCCCAATGACAAAGAATTGGTGCTGCCATGTTACAGTAGTTTGACGTACTCGGCACCAGTGACTGCACGGCATTCTTTGAGTGCTGAAACATGAATACATTTTAACAACAAAGCTTTCAGCATTGAAACAAAGGCAGTACACAGCAGACTCTAGGCAGTTGTGTATAATATGCACATCATGCAAAGCACTGATTATTTCTTTCCTTCAGAATAAGACAAGACAGGTTTTTCAGTAGTCTTGTTGGAAGCATCCAGTTAGCATAACACTAGTACATAATTTTTAATTATAAAGATGGCTGTCTTCCGGGTTGTAGTAACATATAGTCTGGTAGTAGTTTATCAACATTTCATCGGTCCTTGGTATAACATTGTCCTGATGATGGAGGCAGCAAGGGCTTCTGAAATGTTGGTAAACTTCTACTAGACTACATGGCGCTACAACCCAGAAGACAGCCATCTTTGTATTCACCGCCATGAGAACCACAGATCATGATTTTGAATTATTTGCCGACACTTCTAATAATAAAGGTACTAAAACATTGCACGTTATTATACCACTTTCATAGGGACTGACAAATACTTTGGCTCATAAAATTTCTTTATTAGCTATTATCTCTTTAACAGATTTGATCAGCTTTGGAACCTCTGTCTGTACACTATGATAAGCAAACTAATGCTGAGATGCTAAAATTTTTTCTTGATTTTTATGAAAAACAGCATGACACCAAATGAAGTACAATTGGCATTTTCCATGTATTTTTTATGACTCGTTATATTATTTTAAATAATTTCTAACACTGAACAGTTAACACCACACATCTGACAGACCACTAAGGGTATATCTTTGCTCATTGTGTCTGAATGCAGAAACTTACATTCTCATTGTAGTTCATCACTGAAACTGCAAATGGATCTTTTTGACATTGTCTACATAAGGTTATACAAATCTACTTTTAACTTTATTACAGAAAAAAGGCAGTTTAAACTTGACCATGGTGTTGGACTGAGCATCACAGGACATATTATGATGTTCTGAGTTTTGGTGCTGTGTAGAATTGTCAGTAGATGCCAACATTTTGGAGAAACATACTGTCTCCATCTACAGGGCTGAAGTGGCAATTCTGGGAAGTGGAGGGATTTGTATAGGGTTGGAGGAAGGGACACATTATTGTGCTCTCTTAAAATACAGCACGTACACAAAACTCTTCATTGTTTTTGTTCGACAATGAGCAGTTCACTTACATGACCTGCCCTATTCTTATATGTGGTAAAGAGACAAGGAGAAGGTGTACCTTCAGTAGTCACTGTTGATGTCAAGCTAAGTAGCATAGAATAATTTGTTTGTTAATTAAAATTAATTCTAGTGAACCCATTTGAAAGCAAAACAAAAAGACATTTGTTTTAAAAACATAAATAGTTAGATGAATAAAGTATTGGCACTTTGAACAAAAATGGGACAAAATGGTATCCTGGGGCAAGCCACCAGGACAATACGCAGCAGTAAAAAAGCTGTACCATTTGAGATGAGACATTACCATCTGGGTGTAGATGTTGTGGCAGTTACAACATTCATTAGTACACAAAAGTAACTAATGCATGAAACAAAAACCAAATATAAAGTGAAGCTTTCACAGCGACAGAAGTTGATGAAAGACTCTCAGGCAACCAGGCACCTGACGTGTCTTTCATCAAAAACCAAATACCCCTTACAGTCATACCAGTCTACAGATAAGGTTCCTACTAAGATGGCTGTCTTCTGGGTTGTACTCTGGTAGAAATTTAACAATGTTTCAGAGGTTCTTGCTGCTTCCATCATCAGGGTGATGAGTAAGCCACATGCGGGGAGTCAGTTTGAGATATAGGAAGCTGTGAGTAGGCAGAGCCTTGGCCAGACCAGTGGGAGCCATCAAGAACAGGGGACATGCCACAGCCTGATGGGCTATGAAGAAGAGAGAGGTCCAAGAAAGCAGCTTACTCATGATCCTACTTTTCTAAATAGATTTAAGCTAGTTTTCCAACTAAATGTAAAACTATAGGCAAAATAATGAATTTCTGTGTTGTACACAATATAAAAAAATCTTGCAGATGTGAAAGGAATCTATATATCTACAGTAGAACACTTAATAACCCAAACATGAGCATTTTACATCAAGTTTGTAAAATTCTGAATAATGTTACAAAAGAGGCTACAGTAGACTTATAACAAAATCAGAGAAAATGAAGACAACATGGAACATAGTAAAAAGGAAGACAGGAAAATACAAATTGATTCTGAAGGGTGCTGATGATTGTGTAATGCAGTCTGGTTGTTGGGTTTTTGGACCTGCTTCTTATCTTATTATTTCCTGTTGTCATAACCTGGTCTTAGTGCTTATATATATGTGGTTGTTCTGACCTAGGTTGTCCAGTGATTGAGATTAGCTCATTCTAATGGACCTCACGGAGTAGGAGTCCCCTTCACTCCACTTGAAGATGAGGAAAGATCCAGTCCTCGAAACATGTTTTATAACAACGGACAAGGTCCAAAAACCCAACAATCCAGGAAAAATGAATTCAACCTAACACGTATCATGTCTTCTAATAAACAATGAAAAAGTAATGGGTCCAAGAACAGTTGTTAATGCCTTGAATAATTTTTTCTAACAATTACTGAAAGCTTAAATTTACATCATGTGGGTAGAGAAGATGCTATTTCATTTTTAAAAGATGCATTTCCTGGTAAAATTATTCCAGTTACTAAAACTGACATAAAACTATAATCCAAAATCAAAACTCTCATTAGGTTATGATGAAATAAGTAAAATTTTCAAAGCTTGTTCAGCTTTAATTAGTTACTCATTGACCCACATTTTTAATCACTCGCTATACACAGGCATTTTCCTGGATCATCTTAAAATCAAAGTAGTAAAGGAACTGTACAAAAAAGATGACAAAACTAGTATGACAAACTATAGGCCAATTTCACTAACAACTATTTCGTCTATAGTGCATAAGAAGATTGTGTACAATAGGTTAAGTCAACATATGCATACTAACATAATGTTCCGAGAACAATTTGGCATCAAGAAGAGTATATTCATTGAAGATGCAGCCTTCAAACTAACAGTGTGTTAAAATGTGTTAACTAAAAAATGTATGTTTTGGAATTTTCTTGTGATTTAGCAAAAGTTTGGATTGTGTAAATCATGAAAATTTGTTAACTAAATTACATTTTTATAGTATTCAAGGAACAGCTGAAAAATAGGTCAGATCCTATCTAACACAAAATAAAAAGTCAGAATGAAATTATGTAATAACTGAGTTTTTTTCTCAAAATGGGAACAATATAATATGGAGTTCCCCAAGGGTCAATTGTAGGGCCCTTGTGTTTCATAATATACATAAATACCATGTCAGAATCCAGAATATTTGCTAATGACACAAGTGTCATTATTTCTATTAAAAATGTTGATGAGTTCTGTACAACAGCAAACATAGTTCTCGCTCATATGAGTAAATGGTTTACTGCTAACAAGCTGGCCCTAAATCTGGATAAAGCAAATATAACCAGATATTTGCTATGGGCTGGCTACCCATACTTGCATAAATATTCTAAACTGTGTCTCTTGTACAAGGAGACCACACCTTCATTTACAGTCTACTGTTGTATCACTGCATACTTCAGAGGCATATAAGTACTTTACTGCCCTTACCTTGCAGTGTTAAGTCACCAGTACAGCATTGCTACCTTTGCTCCATTGTGAGTCCTGAGTTGTCTTCACTTACGTGGCTCTGCTGTTTGTGTTGCGATGTTGTACATTTTTTGTGACCTTGAACATACAATTTGATGGCTACTACAATTTTTTGACTGGAAACTGGAAAGGGAGTCTAAAATATGGTGGTTATACTTGAGTGATCTATGGTCATGGCATGGACACTTAAATTTGAAGATGATGAACAGATCAAGTAGCATAACATGGTGGATTCTAGAGTACCTAATAACATTATATAAGAGAGTTAACTATAATAACAACCCTGACTAAATATTTTATTTATCATGAGTTCGAAGGTAATTTGAGACTTCTGAGAAATATGTTGGATGGTCATAATAGGATCTGTAGTTATAGCTGGATGTGATAACCTTTTTTGACATAAAAAATAAATGTATGCCTTTGGTAACACTACTTCTAAAAGAGAATAATGAGAATGATATTTTTGGGACTATAGAAAGTTGGGCAGAATTAGGAGTTTTTGAGATTAAAGGCTGTACAAGTTACTCAAAATGAAAAGGCAAAATCATGTAATTTTATAGAAGTCAGGAGATTAAAACAGATGGGATAAGTCAAAGGATTGCAGAAATGTTCACAAATATTAAGGAAATAATACGGTTAAGTTTTGATAAAAAGAGGAATTTGCAGATAGAATTGTGTATCACATGGTAATGGAACTCAAACTTCACAGTGGAATAAACCTAATTTTACAAGAGAATTTTGACTAGAAGTAAAGGAGTTGAACCGGCTTTCAAATACAGAATATGTGACAAGGATATGGTAAATCATCATCATCATTTCAAGATGAGAGTAAAGACTATGACAGTCTGGTAGTAGCATAAGAAGGAAGGGAGTGCTTGAAATGATAATGGGAAATATGAAGTGGGCACAAAGGACAGTTATACCTTTGTTGATCAGCTATGTAAAAGATTATGCATCATAGTTTGAAAGAATATTGAGTGACCCCTTGATTTTTGAATATGAATTCATATTATTAGTATTCATATGCCATTATCAGTAGTAATAAGAAACAACAGAGATAAAGAAGTGATGACAGAACTAGCTGTTGAAAATCAGACATAAATTAGATATAAATAGAGAGCAAGTTCAAAATTAGAATGTATTGACCTGAGTAAGAATGGTAGCATATATGTATGTATCAGTATTTGTTTGCTTGGATGTATGTATGCATGTAGTTAGTTTTCACTGCAAAGAGACAAGGTTAATAATTTGGAAATATATTTTGTGATTTGAAGGACTGGAGTTTATATGAAAAATTCTGGAGAAATATATTAGCCTTAATCTCGTAAAATGTAAGAAGGAAACAAGGGAGTCTTCAAAAGATTTTAGAGAAAGAACTGAAGGAAACATATGCAGGGGCAACGATAAGGAGACTGAATAATTGGGTGGAGAAATGGAGCGCTATTTTAGAATGCCAGATGGGATTTAGATAATATTTTTTTTGGACTCCAATAGGTAAGTGTATGTACATATATTTATCTGGATTTACAATGAATACAATAAGAACAAAAGTGATATAAATATATGGGAATGGACAAATATATACAATAATACGTGGTAATTGCCAGGGAGCATAAAACAACCATTTACCAAAAATCCTCCCAAACTTTTGTGGGTTCCACTCCCCCAAGAAACAAACACTGAAAAATAAGGCAAGATAATAAATTACCAGGTGACATCATGTGAGGTGACCACTGTCGTAGAATATTCAATGGGTGCCGAGATGAAATTTAAAACACAGAACCAACGATGTATTTTTAATCTTGGCATTTGGTGGAGATCAGTGATCAGCTTCATGACCCTTCCACTTCAGCCTCTGGAGGAAGAGCTTCCAGAACCCATTGGATCAGAGGCTGGGGAGGGGGCCAAAGCTGGTCTGCATGTGGCAGTAAATAGAAAAATCCCTATCCTTGTTTGGAATCAAACCCCAGTCATTCAGCCCTGCATTGAGCTATCAAAGGCAATGTAGTTTATAGGCAAGGAAGTTTATAATTAAATTTGGTATTGCTTTAACCACATCATTCCATCTACTCAATCCATCATTCACAGACATCCTGCCATTCAGCGCTGTATAGCCTGTCCACGTGAATGAACCAAGAGTCCAGTCAGTATCTTGCCATTGCCTTTAACAACTAACAAACAAATACGATCAGCGAGGTATGAAAAGTCATAAAGAATGCATATGGAAACTATGTATACTCAAAATTTAAATACCTCTTACTATTGATATGAAGCCAGACTCACCTGTATGTATTGTACGTCACAAATATTGATGTTACAGTCTCACTCCATTGCAGGTTGTCATATATAATGTACTCAAGTGTTGCTGATGAACTTTGTTCATGCAGTTATGAATTCTGTTGTTATTTGTTATATTGCAGGAAAGAATTTGGGTGAAATGGGGATCACACCTGCAAACACAAAGGATGATTCTGGTTGTAACCGGTTTCAGCGCTACAATCTTAATTATGTATCAAGCCCACAGAAGCACACAGTTCCTTCATCAGCACACAGTTTATTGAATCAGATTGTAAGTCCACATCTTTTTAATTTACTTTCTTCCACAATGAAAACAACTGGAGTCAAGCAAACATTTATGTATTGATTTATACTTGTTAAAAAGTGATTAAATTAAGAAGTTTAAGGTGGAATGTACATGTGATCATGTAATAAACACAAAGAAAACAAAAGAATGTTCATAACGTTTCTGTTGAGTTAGGTTGGTCTATGTCATCTCAGATTATCCTTTCTGTCACCATATTTTCTGCCATAATCTTTACCACTTTTTTCCTTTTCTTTACTGGCTCCATTTCAATGTTGAACACCTACCAATTTCCCCATAACATGATCATATTTAAATTTTCCATGTCTAAGTAGGATTTGAGGTCCTTACAGTGGTGAGTAAAAAGATAACTGTCTTCTGGGTCATAGCACCATGTAAAACCATCATTTCATAGGACCTCGCTGCCTCCATCATCAGGACTCATTGCCCTGATCAAAAAGTCACACAACCCATATTGAAATATTTATTGATGGTTGCATTTCAGTATAATTTAATTTTATGAATAAACATACAGTATCACTGTGACTATACAAGAATCCACGCTGGTTACGTCATGTTCTAAACTGCTTGCACCAGTCTGTCAGTTGTCTTTCAGCACTCAATATGCAAGGGCGTCTTTTTCCCAAGTGCAACAAGTGTTCATTGTTGAACACAACCTGGCAAATCATTTTTTACTTCAGTTGCCTGAATGAGTTTAGGAATATATTTCTAATTCTATGGTGCTAAACAAATCTGGTGAACAGCTTCTGCGACACTGACACTCATCGCTGAGTTGCATCAGACATGAGAAAAAGAGTTAATGCATGCACCACTGAACAAGGTGTAGATTCCAACATTGTTTTTTTGTTTTCTGATTTTAATGTAATTTATTTTTTGACAAATAAAAGCATGTGTCAAAAATGGGTTGCATGACTTTTCGATCATTCTGTAGTATCTGGAGCAGTAGTGGTCTTTTTTAAAGGATGCTTTCAAAATAGATAAGAAAATAATGCATCTTTTGTATGTTTTGTTTGTCCTAATTTGAATAGCACAACCTAGAGGTATAACTATTCTATTTCCAGACTCCAGGCTGCTACAGTGACTACATCATAACTTTCAATGGCATAGAACCTGACAAGTTCTATCTGTATGACTATCTTTTATATTCTGTCAGAGTTGTTCACAATGGAGTATCTCATGGCAATCAGCCACCACCAGTATCTGTGTCCGAAGATCAGGTAAAGTCATTTTCATCTTCATGTGTCATTAATGCAAACTTATTTAACATGTCACTTGATAGCTTGTCCAATTAATAAATTAAAATCATGTAATAAGTAAAATATAAAACCACAAAAGAGAAAATTAGGATGGCATGTGATTATAAACATGTGTACAAATTTTATATGAAACATCTGTGTGTGTGCGCGCGCACACACAACACGTGTGGAATTTATCACTATTCTATCAGCATGAATCATTGAAATTCAGCATCATGTCAAGTGTTTGATCTGTGGGCTGTTACAGTTTCATGTATCATATCAGTAGTAAACTTCTCCCTCTAGACTTGTATGATAAAATATGTTTTAGTATTCTGCTGTTTTCCATGTCATTTGCAATTTTGTAATTCTGTACACATTTTATAATCAACTGAATTTTTAATTTTTCTCAGTTATAAAACAAACACACCAGTCCTTATTGGCCCATGTCTCATCCAAAGTCCTTATTTAATTTATGGTTTATTTTTAATCTAGGTCTGGCGTGAGTTTGTGCGGGCAGAAGGTTTTGGGGAGCCAGCCAGTATATCTTCTAAGCAGTATTTTGAATTATGGCAACAGAAGATTCAATCACCAGAAGTGTTTAATACTTTCCTCAGGCAACATTCTGAAGGAATTTTTAACTCTGATGATGTGGATGGTGCCAACAGTCTTGGATCATGAAACATTATTTTCATATCTGGAAACCACTTTGTTCCAATTCAGTGAGTGTTTCGGTTTTCTTTACATTCCTATTCTGGCAATTTCATCCTTCTGCATTTCATGGACTCAAGGTTGAAGGAAATGCAGATAATCAGAAGAAATTTGTAATTCAAAGTCATCTTATTTCAACTCAAATGTTGCATCACAAATTAGACTATTGAAGTAATCATAGTTTTAGTGGAACAGTATAGTACAAAATGGATGAGTTTACATGGTAATAATGTTTTTGGAAGGGGGGAGGCTTGGTCTGTACCTCCCCTCAGTTATCTGTGTCTAAGATGAAATTATATGTACGTACATATATATATATATATATAAAGAGAGAGAGAGAGATATCTTCTCCTTTTGTAGGATTTGAGGTTTTCACAGCAGTGAGTCTGAAGATTGCTGTCTTCTGGGTTATTGCGCCGTGTAGTCTCGTAAATTTCCACCAACATTTCAGAGGCCATACTGCCTCCGTCATCAGGGTGATGAATGTTAGTGGAAATCTACCAGACTACATGGTTTAATAACCCAGAAAACAGCAATCTTTTTCTTGTTTCGTTAAACTGTCACATTTTAATAATTTATGAAGATACTGCAATACAAAAAAGGCATGGAATTTATGAACAGTTGTTATTTGTATAAAACCATTATTTTTATGCATCTTAGTGCTTTAAATTTTTAAGAGAAGTTTGGACTTTTATAATGGCTTTCTCTGATAAACAAGCTTGTACCATTTTTCAGTTTACAAATAGGTAATTTGTTCATCTGCCTTACTAAAATTTTGTGCTTATGAGTTCACACTATTACTTTGCAGGGTAAGAACTTAGGTTAGGGATTTTCCTAATGCATTTCTACATCCCAAAACCAAGAGAGCACTCTGTGGGTGTGGACATGAGTAATTACCAGAATATCTCTTCTGGAATTTTACAAATTGTACCTTTCTCAAAAAACAATTTCCCTCAGTTTTACAGACAAGCTGTTACACTTACAGCATTATTTGGAAATGGCTATATTCGTGAAGAACCAATAAACAATATATTCCAAACAAGAACTGAGGAGCAGACTTAAGGAACAGCATTTACAGAGTGAATTATGACTTACCTCCTCTTAAAACATATAAGAAAGCAGTGACAGGTATATTAATGATGAGTGGCATGTACATTTAAACTCTTGACATACAGTGTTCAGTTGATTGGTGTAATATATTAAAATGTGTTTAACTGATTGTTATAATCAGTTCAACCAATTACAAAATAATTACAAATGATGCAACTGTAATTTAAACCTCAGGATACCAAAGCTCCCAAGTGGTCCACAATAACCTTAAATTCTAAATGTAACCTGCACTCTAACAAACCTGTGTGCATCAGGATTATGGGGTTATAAGGGTGTTAGCAGGAACTATGAAAGACAGTAGGAATTATTATACTGTGCAACAGTAATGATGTTATACCCAAGATGATTACATAAAGAATATGCAACCTTTCCACACAGCACGGCACATTGAAAATGACTATTTTTTAGATTCAGGCACCCAATGGTGTACATTGTGATATTATACCTGGTATTACAGGGAGGCCTAGGCACAGATGATAGGATAATACTAAAATAAATCGTAAGAAAGGGTAAGAGCATGTGGACTGTATTCATCTGACTTAAATAGGGACCAGTCGTAGACTCTTGTGAACACAGTAATGAAACCTTCAGGTTCTGTAAAAGGTAATTTCTTGCCCAGCTGAACAACCATTAGATTCTGAAGGAGGGCTGTGAACCATTAAGTCAGTTGCATGAAATTAATTATAGGAACAACTCATTTGTATGTAGAATAGTTTTTGGCCACGCATCATGCTTGTCTTCTTTCAAGTTACAAAAGTCTAATTTACAAATGTTAGTGGGTCTCATATCCCTCCCATTCTCACCCATTAATGGCTTTCTTGATGGCTGATAATGGAGGTAGAAAAGGACCAGTGAAACAAAAGTTTGTAAAATTCTACCTGACTACATGTTGCTACAACGCAGAAGACAACTATCTTTGCACTCACCACTGTGAGAACTTGGAACCCCATCATCAGGGCGATGATGATGGAGGTAGCAAGGACCTCTGAAACGTCGGTAAACTTCTACCAGACTACACGGCGCAACAACCCAGAAGACAGCCATCTTCAAACTCACCGCCATGAAAACCTCAAATCCTACATTCCTGTTACAGATAATTATATTTTTAAATTCATAATATATGTATTTTTGCCAAATTTTTGCAGGAAAATGTTCATAAACACCCACAGTTGTGCCCTTTTGTATCACGTTTAGTGCATTTGTCTTCTCAGTTTCGCTGTATTCATATTTTTTGTCCAGGATATGTTTTGCATATTTTGAGTTATCTCCATCATGTGAGTGAGATCTTCTGTTTTCATGGCAGGGAAAATGAAGATAGGTATCTACTGAGATATTGTGCAGTTTAGTCTCACAGAAACTGACTTCTTATCAATGGAACAGCTGGCCTGTTCAATGTAGACTTGGTCACATTTGTTGGGTCCAAAGTCTTGGCTGAGGGCGGAGGGCAGGCTTGACATGATTGGACAGCATGTTGCTCATTTGACAGGTCATGCAAACAAAGGGAATGGTCAGTTTCTAGGAGGCAGCATGGCACAACGTCCCATAAATCGGTCATTATTAGCACTTTTACATAAGTTCTTCTTGTAAAATATTTTTAATTTGCAACTTGTATGGTCTGTGGTCACGCACAAGACATTGTCATGTATTCCGATTGTATTCTATTGGTTGTTATGTTGTTCATGTATTTTTGCTTGAGCTTTGAAGCTATTTTTGAATATTTACGTTTAGTATGATTATATATTTATCAAATAATAAATTTTGCCAAATGGGTTGGTTTATGAAAAGTTCTCTATCTTATCGTAACTATATATTATTGCATACACAAATGGAGGAAGTTAATATTCAGCTTCTAAACGTGTAATTCTGCTATTATGCTATTATGATTTTTAAGTATTTGTTCTGCTGTCAATAAATATACCTATGTATTCTATAGGATAAAAAAAAAGAATATTCAGCTATTATGTGTGTTAGAGGTATCAAAAATGATCTGGACTGATGAACAGGCATTTTAAGAAAACAAATAATTCAGGCTACACAATGACAGGGAAGGAAGAATGATGTCACTGCAGCTTTCTTTTTAAATATGCTAATTGAATGACCTCAAAAACACTTTTCACTTCGTGTAATATTTCGTATTGACAAAATGTTGGTTGCTACGAGTGATCGTTGCAGATCTGAACTTTACATGCCCAGCAAACCGCTTAAATATGGTTTCACGGTTTTCATGCCTCACTGATACAAGAAGGCTATAGTGAAAAAGAATCAGACAGGCAAACACTTTACTGAAGTAAGGTAGCTTGTCTTTCCGTCTCAAGCTGCAAGGACACTGGTGAAACTAATTGTAAAGACTAACAAAGACGTCACAGCCTGCAATTGGTTTTCTTTAGTTTAAGAACTTCAGAAAATCCGCCTTGCTTACACTGGAACATTAAATAAATAAACAAATATAAATACCTGCAAAGTTTCTGCCTTCTGTATCTCGACAAATTACCTCTTCACTACACGAATCCAGTGAAGACATGAAGCCATCATCGTGTGTAACCGAAAGATCAAAATCAGTGTTGTTGACATCAACGATACTACACGGTACTGGAGATGGCCCTGAAACTGGGAAATTATACGTCATAAAGAGATGTTTGCAGCCTCGACCAAAAGTTGCGAAATTATTCAGCGAGGCGGCTGATGGAAATATTTTCCATATTATTACAGCAGATTCCTTTTCTCGTCAAATCTGGGTGAAAACCAATTAGAACATTGTGAAACAGAGCAGGGTGGGCGGACAGGATTCGTGCGATATGGTTCTCAGCCGCTTTCGGTCGGGTCGCAAAGTACAGAGCGGAAGTCAAAAGCGTTTCCAAATATATCGTATTTCGTCTGAAGCGTAGCTCACCTGGGGATGAAGGCTGTCCTCACACCACTAACGCTATTAGCTGCTGAGTTGGATTCATCGAAACCGTTTCTCAGCGAGAAAGTGGCCTATCAGGATAGCAAAGGGGAGGATGAAATCTTGGTGGGAACCCCTGATAACAGAACTAGGACGCTCAGCCCGCCTCGCCAAATACGCCAAGTGGGAAGTTCGAGCCCAAAGGGTATAGGACCCAGCACCGCACCTTCGTCCGCTGCTTCAGCCAGTCTCCGAGAACTTCAAGTAAAGGTTGAGGCGTACAACGCTCCAGAAGGGCCGCTACAATTCAAACACTGCCAGCGCTTTGGACAAACCCAGCA